TACCTATTTGTACTCTGTATGGTGTTAGTAATTTACGAATACACGACACAATCAAATACACTTTATATGTGAAGCTACTGCTCATACCGAATTTCCAGTGAGTATAAGGGTGCTTTCACAACAGTATAGAATTATTCAGTTTTTAATAGCATTCGTGTGGAACGCGCGTATATGGAAGTATGTATACGTGTGCTTCGACATAGTTCCTCGTATTTTAGGTGACAGTTTTTAGAGATACAGGATGTCCAGGTGTTCCTCTCCGTAGTTTCATGCATCTAGGTGGCGGACGTGGAAGTCCAGGGTGTCCACGTATTCCGCTCCGTAGTTTGTTTAATTGATTGCCATAAAATTCAATACGAGTAGTGTACAGGATTAGTACGTATTCACATGGCGAGCGAGATGATTTAATTTCAGGTCCGTCGTCGTCGTCGTCGTCATCGTCTTCGCACGTCCATCGAGGTGTTACGCTTCGTAGTTTTTTGTATCTAGGTGTCGGGCGTGGAAGTCCAGGGTGTCCAGGTGTTCCGCTTCGTAGTTTCTTGTATCTAGGTGTCGGGCGTGGAAGTCCAGGGTGTCCAGGTGTTCCGCTCCGTAGTTTCCTGCATCTAGGTATCAGACGTGGAAGTTCAGGGTGTTCAGGTGTTTCGCTCCGTAGTTTCTTGTGTCTAGGTACTGGATGTGGAAGTCCAGGTGTTCCGCTCCGTAGTTTCTTGTATCTAGGTACTGGACGTGGAAGTCCAGGGTGTCCAGGTGTTCCACTCCGTAGTTTCTTGTATCTAGGTACTGGATGTGGAAGTCCAGGGTGTCCAGGTGTTCCGCTCCGTAGTTTCTTGTATCTAGGTACTGGACGTGGAAGTCCAGGGTGTCCAGGTGTTCCACTCCGTAGTTTCTTGTATCTAGGTACTGGATGTGGAAGTCCAGGGTGTCCAGGTGTTCCGCTCCGTAGTTTCTTGTATCTAGGTGTCGGACTTAGAAGTCCAGAAAAGTGTGCAACGAGCGCCGCTTTGGCGCTTTGCTCAAACTATAGTATCCTCTCTGTTGTTCGCATGGCCTGAAGTACGTGAATAATCCAGCACACTCTCCTCTCTTACGTTTACCACACGGCTTCAACAAGCTGGACACCATTAACGACGCTTATATGCATTGATTACATTTTCTTTAAAAATTTGTATATGTCTTTATGCATTTCTAGAAAAAAGGACTTACAAATTAAATTTATATGCCATTAAACATTTTCGACAACGCAATATATTTTTCTAATTAGCAACATCATAATACATTTACATTTTATATCTGTGACAATATAGATTTCAGTGCTTAGAGCTTCTATGTCCCGTTGAGCAACGAAAACTTGTGATATCCCGCGAAAAACACTTACGTGTAAAAAACTACGCCAAGTACAGGAGTGCTGTGTATTCCTCTAATAAAAAGTATTGATATCATATTATTGAGGCCAAGTACATAAGTACATATTTACCTATATAGCACATAAGTACATATTTGCCTATCATATGATTTAGCACTGGCCCATCATTTTCATTGTATTTTCAAAATTTCCTATAATGTTTTCACTACTCTTTTACATTACTACTGCTTCCCGTACTTGATTATGATTTAATGGTCATTT